AACATCAATTTTAAAGCTCTAATCTTGCAAATTGATAGTGATAATATTTAAAACATCTTTTTTTTTAAAAAAATAATTTGATTTTATTTTTTTGGTAAAGTAATGCTTCATTTATTATTAAATTAAAGTATAATAGAATAATTAAAATAGAATGAAAAGTTAATTTAGATCATTCTTTATTTAATATAAAAAAGGTTATAAAGATTGGTTAAAATTTGAATGATTTTATTAGAAGCAATTATTAATTTTATATTAGTGTACCAATCTTTTTGTACCGGCCCATATATATATTTAAATTTAAATAGAAAAATTTTTTTCGCATAACAATCTGTAATTTGATTCATTCAACCATTAAAAATTAATTCAGATTGTGTATTGTGTTTTTTCTATTTTAAGAATTTGCAAATTTAATTGTTCTAAAGAATTATACCGATTTATAAACTGATCTTAAACCGCGAATTGGACCTGTTCAAAGACCAGATCAGTATTCTTGTCAGTCCTCTTGGCAACGTGGTGTGCAGAATAATAACATTAATGAATTAAATTATTATCTTTGGTCTTTACCAGAGAGAAACTTGAACCATTGCTCAAAAAGAATAACTCTGTTCAGCAATCATTTTTCATACAGGCAATAAAGTGCCACGTGCGAACAAACTATAGTTGATCACACACTCATGGAATGCTAGATGGTAAAGGAGATTAATATTAAGAATATCAGAAATATTATTTATTTGCATTTTATCTTTATATTCATAGTATTAAACTTCTTTTAAATTGATTTTTTAGATATAATCACCGTATACCATTAATATTTAGCACCGGGAGAATGATCATTTTTAGCCAAATGGTGCTAATTTAAAAAATGGTTTTACGAGTCAATGTAATCATAAAGATTAGATTATTATAATTTTTTACTTAACAAATAAAATATATTAACGTTAATTTAGAAATCACTAAAAACATAGATGGTACTTTTAAAATTGATGTTATACAGCGTTACGAATTTGCATAAGAGTTATTACAGTGTTTTCGCAAATAATGTTCATGTATGTCATTTTTAATCACCGTAATCAGACCGAATTTCGAAATTACACCATACACGTTATTTCGAGAAATACAGTATTAATTTATTGTTAATGTTTCAAAAGACTGGTCTGATTCAATAAAACTGGTCTTTTTATTTCAAGACTGAATCATATCGAACCGTAACATCTCTATTCCCGACGCGCAATTAAAAAATCTAACAGTTTATCCTGCAAATTTTCTTTTAATAGAAAAAAAGAACAAGTTTTTGTCAAAACAATGAATAAAATAGCAACAAACTCGGTAACTTTCCAAAAGAGAATCGAACAAACAAAAGTCAAGTTCAGTCAGTTTGTATCGAAGGCATCGCTTTGTAACAAACGGTTAACATTTATTCCTCAAATCCCGACCCACTTCACAATCCCAATCTTGCCGCTTGATTGATACCATTGAATCCTCAATAGCAATTGAGTCTCATTTCAAACAAGTGCATCACAAAGATAGTCATTTTTATTGCAAATAACTGTAACGGGAAAAGGAAAAGAGTTGGCGTTTCAAATGCATGCTCTTTTAGTTAAGCATATAATATTATATTATGGATGGTTATTGGTTGATATTAAACAATGAGTAACAATTTATCCATTTATAAATTGATATTTTTGGATCTATTTTAATATACTGTAAGTAGGATAACAAATGACTTGAAACTTAAGCTTTTTATTTCGTCAATTTAAACAAGCATAATATAAAAATTCAAAAAAAAGAGATTTAGTACCACAATCTATGGTCTAATAAAATTGTAAGTTAGAAAGTTCATAATTTTAATGTATCAATGCTTTAATTGAATTCTATGGAAAAGGTTAAACTTCGAATTCTCAAAATAATTTAAACAGAATTTTTTAGCTTTCAATTGTACAATTGTTGTATTCAATTTCTCATTCGTTCATGTATCGTCAATTAATAGTAATATGTTTATGAGTTGAAACAGTGGAGATATTACGAGCGTTTTGATAAAGGTTGTTGGTTTTATTATCGACATTGTTTGTTTGTTTATATCGAACATAATGATAATCTGTTCGGATAAAATTAAATCTAACCTTATCTTTACCTAAAATTAGAATCTTTCTAATTGGTTCAAAAGAATCATTTGGTTTATTTTGTCTGCGGTAGATATACAAGTACATGTATGTACCCAGGAAAAATGTACATGTACATGTATTTTTGTAAGACTATAAAATTCGTGGATTTTAATTTCGTCAATACCATTGTCTGATAAATAGATGTACTGTACGACATGCGTAGAAAATCAATCAATGTCCTTTCTTGTTTAATGCCAGGTGCGTCGGTCGAATGATTGGTTGGATTATCCTCAGATTAAACCACGTGGATGTTGCAAACATGTTTTTTTAAGTTTTATTTATTTACAGTGTGTCACTTTGTAAAATTATCTCAACGATGCACGTTAAATGACAAATTCCACAAACAGTTTATCTTTTAATTCATGTATGTATCTTATTTATGTATATAAAATAAATAAAGCGCTTAGACAATAAAAGATTGAATTCGCATAAATAAGAGAGAGAGTCAATTCAATAAAACTCATTATGTGTTTTGTGATTTAACCATTAAAAAGCCAATAATAATCCCTTAACAAGACCAAGAAAGTAATGGCTACTTATTCCCCTCCGATAATAATCTACATAACCCTAAAAATTCTAAGCTTACTTTTTCTATCCATACTAATAAAAATAATTTTACAATCAAAAACATATTTTACAAAATGGACACTTTTTCAATTATGCATAGCGGTGCTCATTCGTCAAATCATAGAATTCCCCTTAATTCTCACATACGGCGATGACCTACCAAAACGAGCGTTTGACACACCGGCCTGTATAATTGTTCAGAAAATTGGCGCATTTTTCTATTTGCCAAACGTCATGCTTCCATGTTTACTTTCTTTTTATTTGTGGTGGGCGTGTGTGAAAAATGATGTCGGGATTGAGAGGCGGTTAATTCGACATATTTCGGTGGGTTTTTGGGGCGCAAATTTTTTGTATTTTATGATTTTGCTGTGGCTGGATAATAAGGAAGAGCATTGGCATGTGCAGGTAAATCAGTTTGCTTGTCGTGCGTCTTTAGATGGTAGTTGGTTATCTACGTTTATACCGTTAGTTATCATGATTTGTGTGGCTTCGTTTTTTGCGTGTAAGCATCTTTAACTTTTATCTTATTCTGATTCATAAAAAAAAAATCATAATGATTAATTCTATTCGTAAAAACAGGTCATTCTTGTTTTGTATTATTTACAAATTGGCAACGATTCTCACTCAATCAGAACCGAACGACCGCAATAAGACTTGGGCTAGCCGTTCGTCTGGCAATTTACAACTTCGTATATGTCGCAATGCTGTCGATAGTTTTAGCAATGTATCTCGTCCATCAATTTAACAAAATTCCTTCTCAAGAAGCAAGTCTGGTTAATCTCACGGAATATTCCATTAATGTCATGTAAGCGGAGAATCCTTTTTACGCAATTTGAATTCAAATCCTGCATAATAAATTGCTCACCAAATCAATCCTTACAGAGGCATCATATTATTTTTTATTTTTGGAACCGAGCGAACCGCCGTCTTGTGCTTACCATGCTGCTACTACTCTTCACCAGAAGATCATTTAATAACAAAGAAAATGCGCAAATTTACTCGGATGAGCAACAAAGGCAATATCGAAGATGCAACACAACCAAAGACAGTTGTCAAGTAAAAAAAAAACCATAGCACATTATAAAAGTTTTTCACCATGTATGAAAAGTAAAAAGTAATCCATTTGAAAGAGTAGCTTGAACAACCATTTATGTGTGCGCAAATGCATTAAATGTCATTACTTTGTAAATATGCACTAGTGGAATTACTTTAACGAGAAATTTCAGGCAAACTATAAGTAATATTTCCAATTTAACCATAAGAGTAACTTAAGATTTACATGTATAAGGTAAAAATAATGACGATAAGGGTCATAGTGTTAAATGGGTCAATTTGATACAGTATATCGTTATCAAATTTATTCACGTACACACAATAAAATTAACATCAATACATTAAGGTTAGCGAGGCATCATACAAACCTACAGACTGTTAGGCGAACCGCGATTCTTATTGCTGAAACAAAATTAACATGAAAGATATTTATAAAAGTTATTAAGAAAGGTATGGAATTATTCGAATCTTGAGAACGCCTTAAACGCAAAAATTCGAGGCGCAGAAAACATCAAACATTAACATAACAATTGATATCAATACTCATTCTCTAGAGCACTCTTTACAATTGCTCACGAACACAAATAACGGGATAAAAGGGGTGATTGACCATGCTTGTTATTTTTATGCTACAACTGGTAACAGACGAGAACGCGCGTTATGTCTGTTGGAAAAGATGAAGAAATAAACATCTATTAAATATCGTGTGGCTGCACTGATCCTCGACAAATATGGGATTTTGGCGTTTGTAAAAATGATTTTTATCTAGATTGTCAATTTCCCCAATGAGATCATTCGATAAACAATCATGTAGTAAAAAAAAGAGAATACGTGTACATGTTATCCCAGTTTGATATTTTTTTGATAAATGAGTTTCCATTCTTATGAAACCACATGCAGAATAAAGGAATGATGGTGAAGTGGCTTTTATTAGAGGAAGTGAAATGAGTTTAATGAACACATAAGTTTATGATTACGTATATGCACTCGGATTTTTCTTATAAGACGGAGCATTTAGGGCGAAATCTTTTTAGTGAACATGTACTTGTAGTTAGCACTATCACATGATCGTGTAAGTCTTATTTGTATATACAATACCGATACGGTTATTATTTTTTCGCGGGAATTTTAAAGGTGATAATTATACTTTTAGATGTATTTAATTTTTTGATGTTAATTACCTGAATCTAAAAAAGGTTTTTATTCCCACAACAAAGCATGACGACTATCGACTCCGCTGATAATACTGCAAACAAAAGCACGACGACTATCGACGTTGCTGATAACACAACAACAAAAAAAAGCATGACGACTGCCAACATTGCTGATAGCACCACGACCACTAGTGCCACGTCGACTACGGAAACCCAGTCGGCCATAACTCAGGGCTCGTTAATCACGATATGGGTCCTACTCGAAGGAAAATCAAGTGCCACAAAACTCTTCGTTGACTCTAACGAATTTTTATCGCAAAACCCGGATTTGGACGACTTTAAAAATTTACTGATTAAAAGGTTCAAGAATCTTTCTCACGTTGAGCCGGTGGATCTTGAAATATACGATTTTAAGGATATTTCACAAACGCTTTTGTCCGATACAAGTCTGAGAACATTAAATACCTCAGCTGATTCTCCGCTTTTCGTAAGGTATCCATTATCGAATTCGAGTAGTAAGTTTTATCATAACTTTCTTGTTTATGTGCTATTTTTACTATCTATCTAATTTATCCCCGTTATGTGTATATTTATTTTATAGTCAATGTTAATTTCAAATTTCTACGCAACTCGGGCGACTACCGAATGCCGCATTACAGTAATTCCTGGGCCATGTTACGTGATGCTGCAACAAAGAAATTTGAGCATTTAATCACCAGTGATTTTTATTTCGTCGTGCAAGATGACACGGCGGAGGAAATCGACAATGAATTTCAGTTTAATAATCTAATGTCGAGAACTCCACGAAATAATTTTGATGAATGTATTCTTAATTTAAAAGTTCAAATCAAAGGTGAAATCTTTAAAATTCAATATCGCGCATTAAAATCAAAAATCCATTATTAAATCGAACGAAAAAAAAAACCCAGGGAAAAAATCCTATGGGGACTGGAAAATCAAAGAAGTATTCGAAGACGTACTCCACCAAGACTTTATATCGCTCAACACCACACCAACATTCAACCTCGACTATCT